CTTCTGAATTAGATGGTATATTTGGTAACAGTTTTATGCAAAATGCCCTTCTCAATGAAGCCCTTTTACAGTAAAGCTACGTTCAGATCACATGTGATTGAAGCAGCAGAAGCAGCTGGTTAACATGCAAAGGCAATGGTTGATGCACATCAAGGTGCATCCAAAGGTCCTGCAGCTCATCTAGAGCAGCAGGAGCGGGGCATCTTGATGCATCTGATTAGCTGAAGCAGCTCCTCATGAGCTTCTGATCATCTGAGGTATGTGACGCGCTTCACAAGCAGCAGATTCTAGAATTGGAAAAATTGAACTGTTGCTGCTCGACGCACCGCATCAACTAATCAGAGAAGCTGATCTGGGAGCTGGCAGGGAGACAGACACAGCGCTGCTGATGCAGAGCGCTATGATCACTCCTCTGAAACAGTTTAATGCCTAAATTAACTTAAAATGTCAACTTTTATTATTCTGGTGCCTGCAGTTTGAATTTAATACCTGAAAAACACAAACATCTACTTCCAGCCACCAAAAATAGGGGAAAACCTCCAGTGTCTGCTGGGGATTCACAGTGACAGGGCACCGCTGGATCTGAGTGGCTCCAACAACTAAATATTTGAAGGCAGGATTATAATTCAGATGGACTGTACAGACTGTCATGATTTTTATCTAAGGTCTGACCCCAAGATGCAGAGGACCAAACAGAGAGACCAGGGAAAAGTTTAACCGGTTTATTTGAGAATGGAGATGAAACCAGTGCTGCTCAGAGTAGGAGGGAATGAGTGCAGTGTTGCTCTTAACACTGCTCAACAGGGACTGAAAGGTGAGGGGAAGACACTGCGGTAAGTTCAGGCTCAGTGGGAAATTTGAATCTTAGAATTGGAGGAAAAGTTTGCAGACTCACTTCTCCAGGGAAAGGTGTTCCTTATGGAATCCATACTGAGAGGATTGTACCAGAGAGTTTCTTGCTTGGACATGGGTGGACTGGGTTACTCAGACTGCAGTTGTTCCTTGGTGAATGGAGAAGCTTACTGCCACTCTGATTTCCTGCAGTACTTGAACAGGCTGTAGTGCTGAAGAAACCTTTGCTTGGTGTGAAGCTCAAACGACCTCTTGGGGAAAGTGAATCCAAACATCCTGTTTGGAACCCCAGCTCAGTTAGAAGCTCAGTTGAACCTTCCAGAGAGTGAAGGACAGAACAAATCCAGTTTGCAGGATGACTTCCTGCCGAGAGGCAAAGACAAAAACCAAGTTAAGACAGAGGTTGACAAAAACTGAGTTTGACTCAGAAAAACTCAGCTCGACAAAAGAAACCAAAACTGGCAAACAAAAACTCAGGTTAGACTCTGCTAAACTAAGCATGGCTAGAGTGCCCAGTATTGGCAAAACTAAGACTTAGATTAGACTCTGCTAAACTAAGCATGGCTAGAGTACCCTGTATTGGCAAACACTCTGGCGTCGAGGTAGTGGCAGTCAGCAGCTTAAGAACACTCCACAGGTATTGAGGCAATGAGCTGCAGGTGTGCAGGGAGAACCAATTAGGACGGGGCACCACCTCGTGGAGGAGGAAAGGAAACACAAAAACAGACCACACAAACTGGCTTTCTGACACAGACAATGTTTTCAGGTGGACTTTCTCGCTTAAAAATACATTACAACTACTTTTCACCCACTTACACCAGCAAATATAGCAAAGCTGCTCTCTGCCATTGAACACAGGAGCATCAGAAGCATCAGAAGCATCAGAAGCATCCATTCAATTCAATTCAGTTTATTTCTATAGCTCCAATTCACAACACGTCATCTCAAGGCACTTTACAGTTCAACCAGATAATTCAGTCAAATTGATTCTTAGTTTTCTATCTAAGGAAAACCAGCTGATTGCATCGACTCATTGGCTCTTCAGCAATCCCTCACACTAAGCATGCTTTTAGCGACAGTAGAGAGGAAAAACTTCATTTTAACAGGAAGAAACCTCCAGCAGAACCAGGCTCAGTGTGAGCGGCCATCTGCTGAGTCTGACTGGGGTTCAAGGAGACAGAAGCAGAGTCAAAAAAAGCAGCTGCAAAATGAAATGTAGAATGAAGCAGAATGATGAAATGGGGGTCCCTATGTCCTCCAGCAGTCTAAGCCTATAGCAGCATAATTATAGTGATAGCTCAGGATGCTTTACTGGACGTCTGACCTTAATGTGGACGAGCATCAATAATGAAGCAGGAGGTTTTTGCTGCCCAAAGCGGTGCGGTGTGAACGTAGCATTACATGCTAGACTGGTGAAGGAAAACTATGAGGGTGGAGAGACAGTGAGGGGGGCTCTGGCTGTTAAAGGGATCAAAGTGGAAGCAGGGCTGCATCAACTCTCAGCTTTAAGCCCCTTCTTGCTTTACTGTAGTGACTAATATGTTGACTGATGAGGTTAGACTGGAACCTTCCTGCTGTTTTAAATTCACCTGCAGCTGTTGTTTTCTAACGAGAATGTGTTTATGTTCTGCAGAGCTTTTCATTTTTCTCTAAAGTATTTCAGGTGATCATGAGTCAGCGCTGTGGTTTCATGTTCTCTGTGGGTTTCAGAGACCCTATAGAAAATAACTGATGCACCAATGAACCACAGATAACAAGACGCTGCAGTGGAAACTTCCAGAGAAGAACCACAGCGGCTGAGGGCAGCTGAGAGGGTCTGACTTCACCAACGCTTTGATAAGATCTGATCACTCATTTCAGGAAATGTTTTATCTAAATATGTCACCTACTAATATTTCTCCTTTATTACTTACTTTAAATGTTTTTATAAGAATCTTCAGCCTGTTAACTTCTAGAAAAAATCCAGTTTTTATGTCTTGAATGTAAACTTTGTTACTCAAACATAAAATCCATTCTGAACTCTGATAATTTATTGCTTTATCTTAATAGTAATGTTTTTTTACCTGAAATGTTTGACCTAGAGATGAATAAATTACCCTTTTTAATAAAATCTTATATTTGACATTGATTTTTTTCTAAATGTATTCATTTTAAAGTAAATACCTTTATTGTCCCCCAATGGGGAAATTCACTTCCTGCATTTAACCCACCCCCTTGGGGAGCAGTGGGCTGCCACTGTGAGACACCCAGGGAGCAGTCTGGGGTTAAGGGTCTTGCTCAGGGACCCAGAGTGGCAGTCTGTGGGAATGAGACTGCCAACCGGGTCCCTGAGCAAGACCCTTAACCCCAGACTGCTCCCAGGGTGTCTCACAGTGACATTGTACACAGAGTGAACAGTTTGACCCTGATTTGAGCCTGGATTCACTCTTCCATCTGTTGTTGAACACAGAGCTACCCGTGTTTGTTCACACAACAAAATTCACCTTCATCTTGATCCATTTATGCTAAACGTCTGACTTGTTTAAGTTCCCTGTCATAGTGAACTCTGCTGAACTCTACTGGCTGAGATCATGTTTTTCCATTTATTTCATAATGTTCTATTTATATTCAATCTTTGAAACCTATGGATTTTATTCTCATCA